TTTAATCATCATGTAAAGGCCAGAGATGACCTGATCACTGTCATTTAAAGAGTGGAAACATGAATATGGAATGAAATTCACCTGAGAGGAAGATGTTAGTTTGACACTGGAGAGAAGAATATAACAAAGTGGTCCAAGAGAGAATTTAGGGTTTATGTACCTATTAATTCATGAAAAAAAAAAATTCACTGAGTATCAGCCATATGTCAGACACCGTTCTGGATGCTGGGGACATATCAGTGAGTGAAAACAAGTGTATTTCCATGGTTCCACTCTCCTTCCTTTCTCTCTTTTTTCCTTCCTTACTTAATCAAAACATTAGTGTTTACTAGTGCCAAGAACTGGGCAGGATACTGAGGCTCCAGAAAATAGTAAACAAATAGATGAACAATTGCTAAGCAGTATGAAAAATAGCTAACCTGCGGGGAATGAGAGATCAAAGACTACACATTGGGTGCAGTATATACTGTTCGGGTGATGGGTGCACCACAGTCTCAGCAACCACTACTAAAGAACTTATACATGTAACCAAACACTACCTGCTTCCCAAAAACCTACTGAAAAAAAAAAATACTAAAATAAATAAATAAATACCACCAAAAAAAAAGAAAAAAGAAAAGAAAAGAAAATAGCTAACCTGTATAGAGTACTTTCTATTGGGCAAACACCGTGGATGAAGTCAGTGAATGTCAATGAATCCTCACAACAAACCCTATTTGTTTTTAGACCGAGTATCTGTATCTCACAGGTGAGGAAGCTGAGGCTCAGACAGTCTAGGGAACTTGTAAGATCACGGAGGAAGGAACTAGTGGAACCAGACATCAAACCCACAGTCTGATTTGAAGTTCATATTCTTAAACATGACTTTGGATGGTTAAAGCGTGTATATTCTATAGTGGGAGTGTGCTGGTAAACCACCTCTCTGAGAAAGAAAAAAGTAAAGCACGAATTTATAACATTTTCCAATGCCTTTGGTGTACATATTCCCACTGTGGTCAGTTTGAAGTTACCAATGGATAACAACTAATTCACAAAATTTCTGAAAATTTAGTAATTGGTTTTGCAAACTGGTGTAAGTCAGGCTTCAGCACATGACTAAGTACCAATTGTTGGTGGATACAGAGAAGAAACGCACCTAACTCACCTTTAGGAATTTTGTTGTAGAATTCAAGATGAATGAGCCATAAACTCCTTTCACATAGGCCCCTGGAATAGCCCATTTCCCCCGACCCTCTCTGAGCCTGCCCCAATTTTTAGAACTGGTTGTTCAGCATTTCCTGGGATTCTCTAAAACACAATATCCTTCCAACAGTATCCTTCCAAAAAATTATTTCTTGCCCAAGCTGAGTCAAAATGAGCTTTGTTATTGAAAAGCAAAAGATTCTTAGTAACTAATGCAGAGGGGCGTCTCCATCAGAATCAGGAAAATATTATTCAGCGGAGCAGCAGCAACGTGTTGATGTCAATTAAATGCAGCTTTAATAGATAGACATGCTCTTCTGAAAATTCAGGGAGCTGTACTCCCAGAACAATAGAAATTGTCACTCTACCAAAGGGAAGTCTAGCAACAACATCCCTGGGTGCACTTAAGCATGTGTTTATATACCATTAGCTACTTGGCAGAGTGACTGAGGTTAGAAAAGCTGGGGGCAATAGAAGAGATCAGTGATGACGATGAATTATCCCTGAAATTATAACAGAAGGCCCTAATAAAATGTAATTCAATTTTAAAGGGAAAAGACTTACAAACAACATTTTAGAAATTCAGCTAGAGAGTAAAGCCATAAATAAGTATCTTTTCTGAGGTCTACCTGAACTTGCAGTCAGGTGGATATGAGCCTGAATCTCAGCTCTTTCCTAGCTCTGTGACCTTAAGCAAGTACCAGCCGTGTGTCAGATACATCTTGAAGCTAGCTTTAGGCTCCTCTTGTGTAACCTGAGATAAATAATTCAGGGTGACTCTGAGAAATAAATGTAGAATGCACAGATCCTATAGTGGCATCCTGGCCCATCATTAATATTCAAAAGATGATAGTTAATGTTGAAATTGTCCCTATATACTGCATAAAAGTATATCAGTAAAGAAGAAAGGGAGAAAAGCAAAAATAAACCAAGTTTGCAGCACATGCAGCTTTCATCATTAGGTCAGCTTGCTCCCTCATAGCTGTTTGGTGTCTATTGTTTTAGAATCATGCAGACCCTCTTATAAGATTATAGTTCCCCTTAACTGCTCTAGAGATAATAACTTGAACATTATAAAATATTCAGTTTTTCAATTGAGATATTCTTTTAGGTCCTGCATATCAGTGAAACTACTGACATCATCCAGTCTGGAGGCCCCCATGAGAAACTGACTCATCAAGAAATGCAGTTTCCAAGTCCTGATGATTTCATCCTCCTTACCCCAACCAACCAATGACCCAAATTTCCAGCCCCTTTCCCTCCATGATCCCCTTTAAAAACCCTAGCCCAGAACTCCTTGGGGAGATGGATTTCAGAGTCTCCTCCAATTTCCTCACTCAGTGCCTTTCTCTGCTGTAAACCCTGCTGTGTCACTGTATTGGTCGGTTAAAATACAGTGAACATATGCATCTGTTGGTCCTATAGCAATATTGTCAACAGTCACGATGATGACAGTGATCATGATTACAGCTCAAGTCTTGCCCCATCTAGAACCTCTTCCTGACATCTCTATCCCTGATCAGTTTTTTTAACCTTTGGGGATAGCTCTGATATAGTTCTCATCAATTATCTGTATCTATAGTTATCTACAATTATCTCATCAATTATCTATAGTTAAGTAGATAATCACCTGTTTTACTCAAGAGTAAGAACTGTGTTTCAATTAGCTTCTGTGTTTCATGTAACAGTAAAAGTACAAGATTTGAAGTGCAATTGTATTTCAGAGAAGTTTGATCATTTTCTTAAGGTTACATAGCTTATAACTGTCAGAGTTCACTAAGCTAAAAAATAGGTCTGTGCTACTTCACAGCCCAAGCATTTTACTTCTACGTCACCTCTCCTCCCTAGTAGGTTCTTATCTGTTAATTAAGCTTAGTGCTATGCTCTTGGGACCCACTCATTGTTGTAGTTGTTGTTGTTGTTATTGTTACCAATATTCTTGTTGTTGTGTTTCCAAATTCCATGTTGATCTGTGTGATAAGGGTCTTTCGATTGATCACAGCTCAAATCAATGTCAAGTACACACAGAAGATGGATTCTTGCCCTTCTCTGAGCTCTAGCATTATAGATTCAGTGTTGCAGGACTGGACTAGAAACTGTCTGGCAATGCCTAATCTGTTGCATTTGGCACCAAAGATGATGGTGGATAAAACTCATGATGGCATCATCCTTGCTTGGTTGCACCTGGTAAGGAATTAGAAGTCCCCTAGTGTTTGTGTCCAAGCTAATTTAGATTTGTTTTCCTTACTAAAACTCATGGAGGTTTGACCTACTCATATAATAGACACACATGCCCGCCAGGGTCTCCTTGCAAATAAGGATTGCGGTAAAGGATACCTGGAAACACCGCTGCTCCTCCAGGGTCTATGTACTCTGAGCATTTTGCCTTCAACGTAGACCTAGAGTCAAGGGCTCTTAATGCAGGTTGCTAGGATTCTAGTTCTAGTTCTATAAACTGCAGACTGTGTGAACTTGAAATAGGTAGTTAATCTCTCTGTGCCCTATTCCTTTATCTACATAATAAGGATTATACCCCCAAAATATAGCCTGTTGTAAGGAGTTAATGGGATGCCATGTGTAATACAGCTAACAGCCTTGGCTCCCAGGCAGTCAATGCTGCCCTGAGCTCAGTTACCAGGAAGGACCAAGAAAAATGTGCAACTCTGGTTGGCCTCTATGAGGGTAAAAGAAATTCAGATGACCTCAACCCTTCCATTTCTGCTTCCCTCCTTCACCTATCACACACCCCTGAAAATTTTCATGCTGCCATCTCCACACTTCAGGAAAAACACACATGCTCTGGAGTCAGAGCTCTGAATTCAGAGACCTGTGTCTCCAAAGACTGGCTGTATCCCACTGCAAATTATTTCTTCCATTCCAGCGTTTCCACAGTGTGAATGATAATGTAAACTAAATAAAACAAAAATGGCTTGCACATGAAAATCACAGAATCCATGCTGTTATTTTCTCAGATATTTTAGTCTTACATAAAGGAAGGGTTGTTTTTTCTGTTGTTTTTGCAAGTCTTCTCTCTCCGTCTGTCTGTCTCTGCCTCTCTGTTTTTCTCTGTGTGCATGTCAACTATCTCAGACTCTTTCTACACACTTCTTTAAATTCTTTGTATTTTTCTCAGACTCTCCCATGTCTCACACTGTCTCTTTCTTTAAATCGCTGTCTTTATCTCTTTCTCTCTCTGCCTTTCTCTCTGTGTGTATGTGTGTGCCAATTCTCTCAACCTCTTTCTTTATAATTCTCTTACCCACTCTGTCTCTCAACCATAGTAATTTAAAGTGTATCCTCTAAATTCATCTGCCTGAATTTGCAGACTGGCTCCATACTTGAAGAACCGTGTGAACTTGGGTAATTTATTTAGTCTTTCTAAGCTTGTTTTTACACTTTGAAAGTAAGACAAATAACAATGTTTCTGCTGCATAGGGTTATCACAAAGAAGAAATAAAATAATGCAGCCAGAGCCCCCACCGTAATACCTGGCAAACAGCATGCATTTAACAAATATTCACTGTTCTGATTATCTGTTTCTCTTGTCTCCTTGATCCCTGTTTATCCTTGTGTCTATTTCAGGTGCATTCTCTTCCTTTCTCTTTCTCTGTTTTCTGGCTCTCTCCCTCTCTCCTTTCTTCCCTCCCTCCTTCTGTCTCCTCCTCCCTCTCTGAACAGAGATCCACTGTTGCTCCTTTCCTAAATTTGTTTAGCCACATCAATCTCTTGGTCAGGTGCAGATGTCAAGCTGCCCACACACAAAATAAAAAGCTACGCTTGTGGTGCCAAGGAAGTATGGGCGGCTTAGGAGCCCTTACCAAGTTGCTCGGGAGATGGCCCAGGGGTTCCGTGACGACAGGGCCATCGCTGGCAATGTTTTCCTATGCCATGGTAACCACCAGCCGTGCGTCACTGCAAGACAAACAGTGCCGCTCGGTAAGCAGAGAGATTAACAGCGTAGAACGTGGAGTATGAGCTCTTCAAAGGGAGCAGAATGTTCAACTGTAATTCATCTGAACTCCCATTTTTAACTCAAAACACAAATGCAGTTGCCAATAGAAGTCTATAAAGAATTAATTAGGGAACTTCACAAACAGTCAAAACTCATAAATTTATCACTGTCAAAAAGAATCATTTCCTCTGTCAGACGTGAAGTATGGTTGTCAGAAAACGGAAACAAAAAAGAAAAAACACTCAAAGAAGCAGGCCTGCTGTCTCATTTCTTTTCTCTAATTTGAAGAGAGAACATAGTTTAGGGCTTGGAGGATTCAGAAACTGACAATGCTCCCAGACCCTAAGCTCCATGCGGCTAAGGGCGGCCATGTCTGCAGTGTTCATTGCCAGAACTCCAGTCTGTAGCTTGGTGCCTGGTACAGAGGCGGAGTTGAAAATATTTATTGAATTGACTAAAATTTAAAAGGAGGCAGTGGGGAAGGGATGAGATTGACGGTCCAGACTTCTGACATTAAATCTGGCTTCCCTCCAATGCTCTGTCCTACTTCCTGTGAAGCAGGAAGTGACACAGTGGCATCATTCCCCTTCCTGAGAATTCCTGACTATTCTGATCCCATTATTACTCTAACAACCCCAGTAATAAGAGCATGGCTTTGGAACATCAACAGGCCCAGCTCTATCCTAACTTCTATTAGTTTCAGCTTTTTAATGTGTAAAATGAAGCTAATTCTTTCATTGACGTCACACAATTTATGGAGATTAAGTGATAAACGTATTTGAAGATCGATATTAGCTACTAGTATCATTACTATAAGGAGTGAAGAGGACCATATTAGTTTACTAGGGCTGCCATGACAAAATACCTCAGAGTGGGTGACTTAAAACAACTGAAAATTATTTTCCAACAGTTTTGGAGGCTGAAAGTCCAAGATCAAGGTGCCACCAGTGTTGGTTTCATTAGGAGGCCTCTCTCCTTGGCTTGTGGATGGCCATCTTCTTGCTGTATCCTCACATGATCTTTCCTCTGTGCACACACAACCCTGGTGTATCTCTGTGTCCAGATTTCCTCTTCTTATAAGGACGCTGGTCACATTGGATTAGAGCCCACCCTAACAGCCATGATACTAACTTAATCATCTCTTTAAAGACCCTATCTCCAAACAGTCACGTTCTGTGGTGCTGTGGGTTAGGGCTTCAACATATGAACTTTGGGGGGACTATACCCAGCCCATAGCAGGGACCTTTAGTATAATCATACTTCTCAATAGTTTAAGAGAAAACAAAAATTTGTCTTCCGACTGGCACTGAACTGAGTTTACCCTTGTAAATCCGCAAGCTAAAAAATATTTTTCAAATCTGACCTGCCAGCATGCAAAGAGCCGGGAAGACCAGAGATCTAGGACTAATGCATGCAGCACAGGACCTCATTCAAGGCTCTTGCCCTCTCTAGTCCTAATCTAGGAGGAATAGGTTGCACCATGGGGTCCCTAAGATTCCATCTGCTATAATTCTAGCTATATGATTGCTCAGATGCTGAAAGGATCTGTAAAGGCTTGTATAGAAAGTAGGAGTTCATATAAAAAATAAGAGTGTTCCCACCTCTATATTGGAAGTTTAGCTTCTGGAGCTCTCCATTGCAGTAAGCATGTGGTAGAGGACACTAAACTTTGGGAGAAAAATGGGAAAAAGGTCAGGGGATCAAGGTTAAGAACAAACTCATGAAGGGCTGTATCATGGTAATGCCTCCAACTTGCCTGGCATCCAAAAGATGGGTCTTTCTTTACCAGAGAGAAAACCTAGCACAGAATCTTGACCACTCATGAGGTGCAGCAGGTGTTGCAAATAATCACCGTCAAAATGCATTTCAGCCTAATCAGGGTCCACCTCTGGGAGCTGTCCCTGGGAGTCTTTTCTCCAGCCTCTTGCCTCTTTCTCCTCTCCTTACCCTCATACCCTTGGTATTTTCTATTTCTCTGCCAGGGTCTTGCTCTATCAATGAAGGAACTCCTTACAGCCCTTGGCTCCTGAACATCATCTCTGATTCCTTCTTCTGTTATAAGAAAAAGCTTCAAGCTCTTCACGTTCCTCAGGTGAGAGATGGCAGAGTGCGGTGGTTAAGACAGGCATTCTTGAGCCAGTCTTACTAGTTTTGAATTCCTGATCTTTCACCGATCAGCTGTATCAGTTACTAGGAAAGTTACTGAACCTCTCTGTGCCTCCATTTGTGAATATCTGTGAAGTGGGAATTGCAATTGTTCCTCCCTGTTTGGGCTGTTATGAGGGTTAGATGAGCTAACATGCAAAAAGTGTGAGGACAGTGCCGGCACATAGCAGGTGCACACATGTTAACTGCTTCTCCTGAGAGGTGAGCACTCATACTGGTGGCTGAGGTTGGGCAGAACAGTTTACTGGGGTGCATAAAGAAAACATCTGTTATCATTACCTTTTTAATGTCTATTTTAATATGTGTTTTATAAGATACACAATATATGAACACAATAGTAAGTGTTTGCAACCTATAAATAAGTAAACATATATATTGTATGGAAGTGTTTGAAGAATTCTAATTCAGTGCACAACCGAAAGAGTTTAGAGGCCATTGATCTATAGCCAACCAACCCTTACTTTTTAAAAAAAAAAAAATGTAACTTGCACAATAGTATTTTTTAGAACACACCCTTTTCTTGTTAATACTGACTTCTTCTCTGAGTATAATGTAGTTGTCACTGTTCTACTAATGAAACCTTAGTCTCTTTATTCTGTCTTAGTAAAGACTGCCAGTTCACCAAGAATAGAGAAGGAAATTTCATCCAGCTACTATACATTTTTACACTCACCTAAACACAACAATAAAGACAGCATCGAAAGATAGAATGAAAGAATACCAGGGACCGCCGGCACCTAATAAAGCAGTAATTATAGCTACTGTACAACTCATAACTCATTTCCATTTGCTATCTCTTATTCATTAGTCCTCACTTCGAAAATCCTGGTTTTCCATGACATATGTGTCATTTCATTTTCAGTTTCTTTCACTGTGCATTTTCAAGGAGGGCTGCATTTCTCTATGTGTACCTTTTTAAAATTATAATGCCCACTGCATTTCTGATTTTAGATATTGACTTCCAACTCTTGGGACCCACTGTGGTTGGAGACATTCAGTGAAATCTGGATACTTGCATTGGAAATAACTTTAGGCAACCTTGTTTCAACCTTTTTGGTGTCACTAGTAGGAATTTCTTCAGTCTCATTGGCAATACCCAGAATTTTGTAATCTCAACTTTCTCCATATAAGTTTGTACCAAAGACACCTGTGTCTTAAACATCTGCCTTTCTTATACTGACTAGAATTGTCTGAAAATAAAGGATGGCTTGCTGTGCTGGGAATAGGTAATGAATTTACTACCTCTAACGCAGCACTTCTCAACTTTAGTATATCGACACTTGGGGCTAGATAATTCCTTGCTGTGAGGGGTCACCCTGTGCATTGTGGGGTATTTAGCAGCATCCCTGGTCTCAACCTACCAGATGCCAGTAGCAACTCTCCCTGGGCCGTGACAAACAAAAATGTCTCCAGATATCACCACGTGTCTCCTGAGGGGCAAAATCATCTCTGGTTGGGAATCCTGTTTCAGAAGTAGTCAAGAAGAAGAACAATACCCCCCTTCAAGGGGGTGTTACAGCAGGAAGATTCCTGTGCTGGGTGAGAACTTGAACCAGATTTTAAATTCCATGGAAATTCTGTAGTGCTACAACAGCACAAAATAGTTTTTAAGTCAGTGGTGTTGATGGGGTGAAGTAGAGAGAGGAACGGGTCAGGAATGGGGGAAATTTAGAATCTGGGTCAATGGACTTGGGATCCACTCCGAGATCATGTGAGAGTGTTCCCACTCTCTCTCTCCCTCCCAAAGCCAATCCCTGCAGGGGGTCAGTAGATGGAGGAGAGGTGAGATGCTCACTCACGAGTTAGGAGATTTATACCAACAGATGATGCTTTCAGAATGTGGTGAGTCTTCCAAGTTTGTTTGTTTTCCAGACAGAGTCTCACTCTGTCACGCAGGTTAAGTGCAGTGGCACAATCTTAGCTCACTGCAACCTCTGCCTCCCGGTTCAAGCTATTCTCATGCCTTGGCCTCCCAAGTAGCTAGGATGACAAGTGCCCTCCCACCACATCCAGCTAATTTTTGTATTTTTAGTAGAGACAGGGTTTCACCATGTTGACCAGACTGGTCTCCAACTCCTGACCTCAACTGATCCACCCACCTCAGCCTCCCAAAGTGCTGGGATTACGGGAATGAGCCACCGCACCCAGGTGAGCCTTCCAAGTTTTACACCGTATCTCCAGCAGCTCTGTGCTTCCACATCCCTAAGTATCAAGAGTAACCTCCTTGCTGCAGTGCTTGAGGGAACTCAGGAGATGTGGAAAAGGGGGACTGCCATAGCATCACCATACTTCTTCCCTGAGACCGCCACAACCAGCACAATCCTCACGGACATTCACATTCCATGACATAGGGTGCAGACTGACACACTTCATCATTTTCATATGAAATGATGTGCAGTCTCAGAGGCACAGACTGACTGCAAAGCTATAATAAACCCCGCCTGATTTATTTCTCTTATTATTAAAAAACCATCTCACTGGAGCCTGGGGACTTGGGGGTTTTTTAGGCCAGCCCCCAGCTCTGAAATTGACACAGCCTAGATAATTAGAACTCGCCTTAAGGACCTCATTCCGCCTACCTCCCCAAAAAGTTTGCCATTGGATTTCTTGACCTTCCCATGTGAACAGCGCTTGTGTTTAGCTGGGCCATATTTCAATTTAATTGTCTTGCCCACGACACACTGACTGTCTCACATGCTGGAAACAGAATGAATTAGAAGAAGTTTCCTGTTCTGCCTCATGGAGTCTTTTCTTTCCCTTATGCTATGTTTAGCCTTTGTGTGGGCACTTGGCTGATGCCAGATACAACTTATTGCTTTAATTCCTGTTTTGATGAGACACCCTCTCTTGCTGAGGGTGAAGCTCAAGGGTGAAAGAACTTGCTGAGATATTTCTTCCGTCATCTACCTCATCTCCTGTGGACTGGTAAAGCTTCTTCCATTTGGGAAAAGAGAGTGTCTTCTTTCAAACACAGAGGAAGTACACTTTGTTGGAAGGATTACAATAAAGGAATTCATTGGAAGCATTGCAGATAAAGGAATTCTGGCTACCTGTCCTGCAGTTGTGCTTTCTACTTAAGCAACATCTACTGCACACCTGCTGAGTACCACATTTCATGCCAGGCAAGGGTGACACAGCTGTGGCTAAGTCACAGTCCCTCCCCTTGAGGAATTTGAGAGCCTAGTGTGGAAGCAAACTGGTAAATAGGTATTAAAATATGACGTGGTAATAAGAACAAAAGCAATGAAAGGCAAGCAGCTCTTGTTTTCTGGGGCACTTACTATGTGTCAAGTTCTATGGTAAAAAAGAAGGAATGGAGTCCAGGCTCTGAAGCCAAACTGCCCCAGTTTGAATACCATCGTGGGCA